GGGAAAGTTTTACATTTGTTATGAAAAAATAAAACTATAAGAATTATCCGACAAAAACTGGCCTGGATATTTAATTTCAAAATTTGCAATTTTTGATGTCATTTCCAACTTGCCTTGAGGGATCGGTTCATTAAGCTAGAATAATCCGAGGAAACAAGTTTAAATAAAGTGCAGCAAAACATATGCGTAATTCAATAGGCACAACGAAGTTATATGGCGTCAACATCTGGTTTTTCCTTCAGCTAAGTCGTCCATTGCATGAGCATTACTAAGGCTCAGTGTCCCGCTATTATAAAGAGGCCTTTATGGGCTTAAGTAAAGTATCACTTCCGTTTGTTCAGTTTTACACAAAATCTAAGAAGCTTTTTATATGAATACAGAAAGCTTAAATATGGAAATTTTTGGAAGTTTCTTATAAGGGTTGTCGTGGTAAAAAAAATGCTTCCCACACATACATACATACAAATAGACAGACATCCTTGCAAAAATAGTAAAAACATGTTGGGGGGATCTTAGTTCGGGCTCATTGACTGAAAACTCACTACTGAATTTTTGCAGCGAAAACATTACCTTCCTTACCTATGTACATAATTCGAGGTAGGTAAAACGAATATTATGGATCCGTGCTAGCTGGACGCTCGTATTACAAGAGCATGAAAAGCAGAATGTGATAATTCCTCACGTTCTCCTCCACATAAAGGACTACATATCAGAGGCACAATACTCAATCCTTCAAACACAGATGGTGACGAATTATTGTTTAATACAATTCGGGCGGCATTGTAAAGAAACACAGAGTAAGAGATCCCGAAAAGTCAAGTATGTTCTTTTTGCAATTCAAACCCAATGATCTTCTCGCTGCGATTACCAGGTGGACAAAAATATCGTGACACATACATGCACATAAAACAGATAGACATCCATATAAAATAGTTAAAGGGTGTTGTGGAGACACGTCCGTTACCTTTGCATATAGTTAGGCGAGAGGAAAAATTCTGAAAAACATTCGTATTAATCTTAATATTTTAGCTCAATAAAATACACATGTACAGAGGCTGTTCACATATTTTTTAGACGATGTATATTGTATTCACAAAACTAAATTACATACAATTCTTGTGTTTTAAATGTTCTATTTGACATCCCTTATTCTGAACTATCTTTCGACACCGCAGTTTCCAGGATAATAATGCCTTTTGAAGTGGCAGAAGAGATATTCTATCCCATTCCTCCCGAACAGCTTTCCAGAGTCCTGTTAGGGTTTTGGGACAACGTTTGGATAATGCAGTTTTTTAAACAGTCCGAAGAAACAAAACTCCACTGGTGACACATCGGGAGATTTAGTAGGGATATCAGTGAAGGGTATATACGGCCTTGATACCAGTTTTTTTCCATTTCATTTAGGAAATTTACAGTAGATTTTGATGTGTGATTGCTAGCTTTGTCCTGATGGAGTCTCACAGATGGATGGCACTGTGGGTGAAGCGATGGTATTTCATTCAGAAAAATTGGCGATAAAATATGTTCCTGATAATATTTGGAGTTAATCTTGACATTTTTTTTTTTTTTTTTTTTTTTGCACGCTCTTTATTTTTGACTTGCCACTATAAGAAAAACCAGCAACAATCACGAATCCCTTAGAAAAACTTTCTTTCGATTCTTTGAACCATGTACTTAAATTTTTTCCTTCCCTTTTATGATTATGAATGGCTCTTTTCTTTTGTTACAATCATTTAAATACGCCCATACTTCATCTATTCTGACAATTGTTTTCCATTTTTTATTTGGATATGTGTTTCTCATATAGAATTGCAGCGTGTCCTGCGTTGAGCGATATGCTTCGGAAGAAGACAATGCACATTGCGTTTCTTCGCTTTCTTAAGATTTAAATCAACGTTTATCATTTTGTTTACAGTGGACACGGAGCATTTTAATGATTTTGCAACTGTCCTTTGACTAGAGGGATTTTCTTTTAACATTAAACAACGTACCTTTGCAATAGTCGAAGATGTCCGTTTTTTCCTTGGATACTTGTTTGGAATTTTTGTCCCACTTGAGGCTCTAATTTGACTTTTTTTTCCTTTCTTGTTGATGATATTACCTATCAACGCTTTATCACAAAACCATGGCTCTCACATCGTTTTTGGATAACGGAGTATGCCTATTTCTCTTCGGAAAGACCGTAAATGTAGCCTTTGAACCACTGCTTTGTTAAATTCGCCATTTTGAATAAAAACAAAACTTTCAAGCCACAGACGATAATTTTGACTTTTAGAAACATAGTACAATTTCAATTACTTCTTTTGCAGCAAACGAATTTTTATTACCGCTTACCGAAATCGTCTAAAATATGTGCGAACAGCCTCTGTACAACGCAACAAAATACAGTCATAATGTATCACAGTAAATCTACATCTGAAATGAAGGAAAAAAAAAAAACTTCAAAAAGGAAAGGAAATCTATTTTGCATGTAACAAAATTTTAATTATTCTTCCTTGTCCTGACAATAAACATGCATTACGTTACGAGTGGAATATCACTGCCATCGCTAGACATATTATAATCGTAGTCAGTCTTCTTCCCTTATTAATGAAATTCTTCCTGTGATCTCTAGCAAAATCAGCACGTGTTTCCTCCGGTGCTGATATTTCCCCGGCTTTATGAAAGAATTTGTGTTATTAATCGTTGTGTTCGTGTTTTCGTTAGCCGTTACATAATTCTCTGTAAGAGGTTGCCAATAACATCAGTTCACGTTGAAACATTCAACGCGTTGCTCATTAAACTTATGTTTGATAGAATGACTCCGCAGTTTCATGGCTAGTTTCATTACCTTCATTTCATTAAATCTGCTTTTTGAACCGGATCATTTTCACCAAGTTCTGCGGGATTAGGAGTCTCAGGGACAACCTCTACTACTTCATCTTCACTTAGGGCTTTACGGCTAACAATTCATTACTATTTTCAAATAATATATCATAGAATACTTCTCCACCAGTTGTGCGTGTCCTTGTAATTACACCAAGAAATTCGGTCGTATTAGGGAGGGTGGTACCTTTGCTTCATTCTTCGCCACTACATGTTATGCTATTTATTCGTGCATGCGTGTACTGCTATGCCACAAGTTACAAATCTTTTTCTTACAGTTTAGACTGTAAGGTAATTTCTCCCTTCTTTCCGCATGCCTTAGTTGTCTAATTGAAAGCATACTGGACGCGTAGTTTAGAGGTCTAGGGTTCGAGTCCCGGTTGTTGCTAATTTTTCACGTCTCCTGCTTAAAAAAAGACCTAACGACTCTATAAGACTAAAAAAAAATTAGAAATTTATAAGATTAATGTTAAATCAAATGACAAATTATCCATGTCGTTTGATTATGTTATGTTAAATATATAAGGTATTTCTCCCACTTTCCTAGCGTCCTTCGTGGTGTAGTGGTTCAGCACGCTGGGCCGGTATTCCAGAGGTCCGTGGTTCGATTCCCGGCGAAGGCCGTTGCATATTTTTTCTCTTTTCTGTTTCCAATTAGCCTAATGACTCTACAAATCAAACGACACGCGCTCATATTAAATCAAATGACACGTATAAGAAAATGAAATATTTATTTTGAATTCAGGCTAAATCAAGTTCGTGTAAAAACATAATTCGATGTAGTGAAGAATCACTTACTAAAGAGAATTTACTTTCTAGAAGCCTCTTAAAAGAATTTAGAATTCATGTATGTATTTTTACTAAACATTCTTCATATTCAAATGTTCAGTACTGACATTCGTCATGTCCAAATTTTTCATCGTTCATCAAGTTCGTATAAAAACAGAATTAGATGTTGTGAAGAAAAATTACTAATGAGAACTTACTTTCTAGAAGTCTCGTATAAGAGACTTCATGTATTTTTACTAAAACTCGTCATGTTCAAATGTTCAGTACTAAAATTCTTCATATCGAAATTCTTCATCGTTCATTAAATTAATGTAAAAACAGAATTAGATGTAGTGAAGAACAACTCACTAACGAGAATTTACTTTCTCGAAGCCTTCTATAAGAATTTAGACTTCATGTATTTTTAGTAAAATTCGTCATGTTCAAAATGTTCAGTACTAAAATTCGTCATGGTTCATGAAGTTCGTGTAAAAACAGAAATAGATGTAGTGAAAAACAACTTACTTACTAAGAGCTTACTTTCTAGAAGCCTCGTATAAGAATTTAGACTTCATATATTTTTACTAAAATTGGTCATGTGACTGAAAGCTTCATAAAGTAATTTATTTGATTCCTTAATTTTTTCTTTACTTGGTTGTTTCGACCCACCGTCCTACAAGATATTAATCAAGAGATGTACAGTCTTGAATTTCTTTTGGAACAATATGGAGTACATTTTATGAAATAAATCTTTTCCTTTTGTTGGAAACATGGTGAACAATGATAAAAAATATTTAAAATTTATAAATCGGAAATATTTAAGTACCATTTTGAATTAATAATGAAAGATAAAGACTTTTTTCATTACCAGGTAATGAAAAAAGTATTTATCTTTCATTATTAATGTTTTTATTATCAATGTATTAATTTATTATTAATGTATTTTATTTTCATATTAATGTTATTATTCATATTATAGTATTATTTATTGTATTTTCATTATTAATTTATTTTCATATAAGTTTTTTATGTATTCATTCATTATAATTATTGTTTATCTTTCATTATTAATTTATCTTCATTTTAAGTATTTATTATCTTTCATATAATTTATCTTATTATTTTTTATTATTAATGTATTCATTCATTATTATGTATTTATTTATCTTTCATTATTAATTTATCTTTCATTATTAATGTTTTTATTATTAATGTATTCATTCATTATTAATGTATTTATATATCTTTCATTATTAATGTTTTTCATTACCATGAGTAATTCAATATAAATTATTCATTTGGTCAAATGATATACTTATAAACCGTATATTTACTCTATTACAAAAGGGAAAGAAAGCATTACTTACATTCTGCCCCACCATATCTATAGGCAACTGTGCGTATTGGTCAACGAAGCAGACAGCTCGCTCCTTGAACTTTTCTATGATGTCATCTGGCCACCATTGAGTCAAGTTGCCCACTTTATCGAACTTCCTACCTGGCAGAGAGATCAGAGCTTAGCTCGAGTTTAAAAATATTGCTAAACGCTTCATAGAACTAAAAATACTGCCAGAGTTATTCTATTCGAGTTTAGTAAACTAAGTCAATAAGTAAATTTATCGGGAAGGTTTCAAAAACTGAAACTTTTAAAGCTCATTTAGCTCAGCATCAAACTTAGTGAAATGCTTATTTAGCCATGAAAAGCAATCGCTCGCATTAATTAATGGCCGACCCAAACATTTCTTTTGAGAATTACAGATATTTAAGAAGATGCACACATTCTGGCTCTTTATTGTCTTTATTAGTCGAATGGGGCTTTGTCCCTGAGGGACTATTGTTTTCGTTTTGCGATTTTGCGTCGAATCACTCTGAATGTTCGTTTCACTTTTCAAATTGTTGCTACCAACTATTATCGCCCTGTATTATATTTGAAGAAATTAAATAAGGAAGAATCTACATAAATGTATGTATGTTTCTCGCATTGTGATAAAACAAGGGTACCTAGAGCCATAAATTTTGAATGACGTAATCCTACAGCGAATATGGGCATCTGGAAGCCCAAATTTGAAATTTGGAATTCGTTTTATGATCGATTTCATATTTTGTAAAATTTTAACAAATTGTCGATTAACAAACTCGAGGATTTCAAAGCGAGCAATGGCAACGCTGTACAGAAAAAATTTTTTTATCTCCAGCGTGTGAGACTGCGTATCGGAAATTCTAAAGATATGCTCAATTTAAAATTATTTTGCGGTATTGCTCTTGAAATGAATTTTATGGTTTAAGTGAGAAGAACATCATATTTAATAAATAAAGGTAACACACAAAACGTTAATAAAACGCCCCTCTAGACGTAATTAAAAAAAAATCTGAAAAACTTTCAGATTTTTTTGTATATAGTGCCTAATTTTATGCCTTACTATATATAGTATATACTTTTATATATACTTATATACTTTTATATAGTGCCTTACTATTTATGCCTAATTTTAATTTAAATTAATCTGTAGTTAAAGCAATACTTGCTACAACTAGCTCACGGATCGCTAGCTAGCTCACGGACACATTTTCGATAATTCTAGTAAGAATATTTTCTCAAGTGATATTGAAATGCAAAATCTCAAAGTAAACTGTCGCAGACAGTTTTCATCTCAAATGTAGTGTTACGAAATGTACAGGCGCGGTAAAATGGCTTCCCCGCAAAGCAGTTTTAGGGTTGACATAAAATACCAAGGAGGGAAGGGTTGCCACATTTGGCAAGAAATCGTCCATTTGGCGACAAAATTGGCGATATGCCATGGACGGATGGAGAACCTTCCTGGAACGAATTCTTACCGGTTTAGCCCAGAATGTTCTCGAACATAAACCAAAAGCTATATAAGCCATGCTGGTCCGCAGTCAGTTAGTGTGTGTGTGTGCCTCATCTAGCGAGCAGATAATCAGTCATTAAGCGAATATCTAGAAGTCCATCGTCAAGTTTTGTCTTAGACTGTGCTGAGTCGAGAGCTATACTCTTGTGTATCGTCGAGTGCATCGTGTGGAGAATCTCGAGAGTACTAGGAGTTCAGAGAACAACCAAGCAGAGTTGGAAGCTGTACTCGGGTGCTTTGCAGTGAAGCTGTCTCCACCGTTATTGCCTGACAGCGTGAAGGCTGTGTCACTGATTGTTCCAACGTGTTTATAGTAGATCTCCGATGACTGTAAAAAGTGTTATTAGAGTTGTCCTGATTAACATTGTCTAAATAAAGTGTGTTTCGATACTTCATCAAGTGTCGTCGTTATTCACTCTAAATCTACAAACCCCGTACGAACGTGAACGAAGAAAATAACGCAACAACTGGTGTCAGAAAAGGAAAAACGTAACAGTAGAATTTGTACAGCTTCCACCTCAACAAAAAAATAACCACTATTAGTTCGATTCCTGTCCGAAAGTTGGTATTGTTTTTTTCAGCTTACTGATGTAGATTTTTATTTTATAACATCATTTGTGTTAAAAATAAATGCAGTAGTAAGTTTGCAAATGAATTTTGGATAACTGCAATCGAATAAAAGTTATAAAGCATTCACCACAAATTCAAAAGTGTAGAAAAGTGAATATCACTCTCCCCATGTTTTAATATTTATTTATATTATTAACATGTAAATAACTTAAAAACACATTATCCGATTTTTCTGCTTTGAAAACGTAACTAACTGTTCTAATTAATTTCTCTTTCATATATGATGCATCTATATGTGACGTTTTTAGTTAAAAAGAAAATATCAAATTCCTAGGTGCATCCATATATGATGATTTTTAGTTAAAAAAAATGCTTAAAGCAACTCATATACTTGTTGAGTTTTTGTTTTTACATATAATTAAAAATCAAGACAAAAGAAGAATGAAAGTTATATGCTGTTCAGACACAAAGGGTTTAAGGTGTTTCCCTTTCGACTCTTAGTCTATAAGGTATTTCTTCCGCCTACTTAGCATGCCTTCGTGGTGTAGTGGTCAGCATGCTCGACGCGTATTCGAGAGGTCCGTGGTTCGAGTCCCGACGAGGGTATTGCTCATTTTTCACGTCTTCTGCTTCCAAAAAAATCCTGATGTCTGTACAAGGTCTACATTTATAAATTAACAAAAACAATAAGATAAAATAACACGCCGAACAAGTATTTAATTTAACAGTCAAACAACAAAATTCCATGTTATATTTGCAAATTTTCACAGGATTAGTTTCGATTGTTTTACCGAACCATCATCCTCAGCTGCCTCATCTTTCAAAACATTTTTTTTTTTTTTTTTTTCGCTTTGGTAGATGAGGATGATGGTTTGGTAAAACCATCGAAACTAGTTCTTTGAAAATTTGCAAATATAACACTGATTTTTATTGTTTGATTTCTAAATTAAAAATAATAATGTTAATAAATATTGTTGTTTTGTTTACTCATTAAGAAACTGTCAAATAACATGGTAACTTCAAACGTTAGCTATAAAGCTTGTATCGTCTTCATGTTTTGCAATGTAATAATTCTATTCTTTAATATATACCTATATGAATTCATAAAGAATATAATTTATTATTTTACTTCTAAATCTATAACATCTGATTTGTTCCGATACTCGCAATTCAGTTTCATTAAGCCTGTCCTCTCAATCTGACATTTCGTGTGAGTTTAGCTATACAGTCAAAAGTCGTTAATCCGGACTCGTCGGGACTTCGGCGATTCCGGATTATCGATTTTTCCGGATTATAGATCATCAGTTTAAATCTCGTAAGATGGCATGCAGAAATTCTAAAATTAAAAATATGAAACCTTAATTTATGAAATAAAGAACAATTATAATCTAAAGGGTATCAAAATTTACAAAAAGAAAAAGCTTAATATTTATTTGTTTACTTTATTAAACATTTCTTTCAATGTAAGTTGTTTAAGTTGCTTCGTTTCATGTGATAATACTTTCTCTTTAATTCTATTAAACAGACATAATTTCTTGTTTAGTTACAAAGTTCCGCTGTACAAGTCCTATAATTGAGGTGTCGAGAATACCGACTAATTTGTCAATCGAAATTTTTTTCGTTTCAATAACCTTTGTCACTTTCTTCACTATCGGAAGCGAATTATAATGACGAGGAACTTGTTTTAAATCATATCAAAGACGGAGCACATCGAGATGAAATACTACATTTGGTAAGAAATTATAAGCCAAATAAAATAAAAACATCTGCCCTGAAGATAAGGATAGTGCTGACAGATCAACTTCCAATTCATTGCGCGCCGCCGCGTTTCCCCCGCCGAGCAGCGTGAAATTGATAAACAGATTTCGGATTTCGAAACATACTTTCGCTTTAGATCCTTTACATATTAACAAATATATATCGGAAATTCTATTTGATATAATCGAAAGTTTAAGCTTACTTTTATAAAATTGCTCTAACAGTCTGCAAAAAATAATAAGCCGGATCCAATTCGAAGATTAAGGAACAACGCAATCTGCAACATTAACTGAAATAGACCGATAATTTTAGCTTAGCTTACCGTCCGTTATACATTAAACGCGCATGCGTAAACGTATTTTGAACGCCCACACATATCGCAGCCGTAAAGGTCTTACGCGCGCATGCGCAACGCGCGCATGCGCAGAAAGGTTTTAGCTTTGAGGTCCGGATTATAGATCATTCCGGATTATGGGTGTCCGAATTAACGACTTTTGACTGTAATAATTTAGAGGTAAAAGTGTTTGGATTTTTATATTTTACACGTGGAAATGTTCATCCTTGGAAAGGGTATATACTTTTCAGATCAGGTAATTTCTATGTGCTTTTTACGAGTTTAAAGATTCACAGAATTTTTTGCATTTTGTGCAATTTTTGTAATTATGAGAAAATAGCAGTGCAGATGGATAAAGTTAAGAGGTGCAATGCCATTTTTGTGCAATTCTGGGATTTTTTTAAGTAAAATAAGTGACATGTAAATGGTTTATGTGTATCTATTCTGAAAACGTGCAAGGAGTTGCGATTGTGCACTTTTTCCAATTTTGCAGTTAATTTGTCATGATTAAGCATTTTGTTAATAAAATTTCTAGCATAAGTGTAATTCAGCTAGTGATTGTTGGAAAAAGTGTGAGTAATAAAAAGAAAAGAAATATGTCTTACTTCGTGAAGACAAAATGGCGGCGAAAAAAAAACGTAGAGGGTTGCTGTAGCAGAGTTGGTCGCCAAATTTTCACCAAGTTACCATAATCCAAAGATCAACTTTTTTTTTAAGTGAAAATAGGTCGACGTGTACATGGATATCGTGTATGTGCAATTCTTAAAAACGTGGCAAGCAGTGGATGATTCTGCACTTTCTCCCAATTTCGCACCTAATCTTCGTCATGATTAAGCACTTTTGTTCCATAAAAGTTCTAGCATCAAGTTACCATAATCTGAAGATTAACCAAAATCTGCTCGAGATTGTTTCCTGAATTTGTCTAAACACAATCTAAGACTTCAACAACTATAAGAACTTTTTCTT